GATGACAATTCAGGGACAAACTTTTTTAGTCTAAAAAAGTCAAATTTTAAGTATTTATAGATCTATTGATGTCATTTTAAATTTTAAATTTGTAAGACATCTATTGTATTTACCTTTTTGTAGTACATTTATTTATTTAAGTTATTTATTTTAAAAATTATGACATTAAGAATTTTTAAGAAATCCAATCGGGACATGCAAAGTGCGCGACTTTGGAGGCTTTTTGTTGAAAAATAAACAGCATGTTGATTACTTTTAAAATATTTAACAACTTATTTCATTAACAAATATCGTCGCTCACATCACGAACTAACACAATTCGCGATTTGAGCAAAATTTCCATTTCGAGAAAATCGTTTTTGAAGTAATCTGCACGAAAAGAATTTGAAGGGCCGAAACAGGAGTCGATGGCGCCCGTCAAGCATCGACTGACGATACAGCATAGCGATCCGAATGCGAGCACATTGCAGGTTCTAAGCTAAGCAGAACGCGCATTGTCATGGGTCACAAGAAGAATTTTCTTGGCTTCAAGCTTTTGCGCGCTGTACGTTTTCAGTTTTTTTTTTTTTTTTTTTTTTCTGTTATTATTACAAGGATGGATTGTGTGTCGATGTGAATGTATGTCAATCGAACTTCATAATAATACATGACACGGTGAAGATATGATGAGTTTTATTTAAACAGAGATACAACAATTTTTTAGTTTCATATAAGATTTTCCTGTGTTAAAAATAAACATTATTTACTATTATACTTCTTTATAAAACATAACTTGTAGAGAAATCTTTATGCTACTGCACTGCCTATTTTATAGTACAGTAATACACTATAAATAGGCTCTTCTTTTTCCATCTTTATTTCAGAGGTCAAAAACATTTTTCAATATAGATAGTGGTGTAGAATAGTCTTTTGAGAACATTAAAAAAAAAATTAATGTGATACGACCCTCTGTCATGGAGTTTTTAGATATTAAACATGATGACAAGATTTGCCTCAAAGCTTCTTATTTCTGTTGGTACGCACCACTGACTTCGGTTGTTTGTCATCACTTCAAGATGTCTAACGACTCGTGGGGCACAATTGGCACATACAAATTAATAACTTTAGTGTAAAATCATTGTGCAGAAACTCGGCCCTAACTTTACTCAGAGAGTGGTTATATCAGTGCCGGATTAACCATTAGGCAAATAAGGCACAAGCCTTGTGGGCCAGGCGAAAATGATGGGCCATCAAAAGTTGGACTACAATATTATTTACACTCTATTTTCCGGTATTATTAGGCCAGAAAACTCGGAGACATTCTACTGTCCATTCAATTAACATTTTTGGGCCATTTCCAAAATGTGCCTTGAGGCCAGACGATGCTTAATCCGGCACTGGGTTATATGCAGGTAATATAGCATGGAGGTTTAATACCTCCATGGTTATACAGTAGTCATATGACAACTCACTGCTTTTGTATCCGTTGGTCAAGCCTGTCTATATTTTCGGCCGGTAAAATCAGAAATGCACAGACAGATTTCCAGAATCTAGGCCCAATTTTTGCGCGGGTAGGCCCTAATATATTACCCGCACAGGCATTACACTACTTTACAGTCAGGACCCACACCCGGTCCCACACCACCCGCTACGACCCTAACTCGTAGGAGGTATACCTCCTTTGCACCACATAGTCTACGCTACACAAGTGACGCAGAAAAAAGAACTCGGGAGCTGAATTGGCATACTGTCATTTAGGGGTCATAGCCTAGGCCTATATAGGCCTATATGATATACAGTATATAATGAAATATTTTACTCCACGATCTAACTAAAGAAAACAAAATATTACCATGGAAGTAAACAGTCTACGCAGGATAACTGTTGAAATTCCTGAAACGACAACAGATTGTTCACCAGATAAAGACGTACTGTACACCATGAATGGAAATGCAGTTTCCTGTTGGTTTGTTGTAAATTGAGTTCAGAGTAATTCGACTGTCACGGTTGTCAGAACTTGACCCACCAATCACAGCTCTGCATTCCAGGGCATCTTTACCGCCTACCACAGATAAGATGTGTGATTTATACCTCCATGGTGATACCATAGAGAAAATAGAACAAGTGATACCTAGTTTTGATTTGAGAGTGGCCAATAACCACCATTCAGCCATGGACCTATAAAGCCTAACATTGCAGATTTGAAAGTGCATTGACGTACGACATTGACCGTAACTACTGCAGAGATCAAATTGTAGGCCTAAATGGTTCTGTATAAACAGTGCTAATGACTACCTAGGCCCTGTCTCTTATACACATCTAGATGTGTATGAGCTCGTAGGCTCGAGCTGGGGGAGAGAGCTGAGAGGGGGTTCCCTTCCCAAATGAGATTTTTTTTAAAAAGATCAACCTCTGGATGGCCGGAAATGGCACTCTCAGACTGTGACAGACATGTGTGTTGGCTTGGTGTGGGCCTATTTTTATATGTTTTATGGTCTAACTGCCCGACGAGCTCTGTCCCGCGGGGGGGGATGTTTTTTCTTGGTGAGTGTCCTTTCAATAGTTTATTTTTGATTTTTAGTATTTTTTTTCTTCTTTTTTTACTTCGATTTTAGATATCGTCGATGACCACATGTGGTGGACCACACCATAATACAGTAGTTGCCGAAAAAACTCGTCACGTGTTGTTTATTTTGAGCATGCAATCAGTCAAGGTTAAAGTTCAATGCACGCGCGAATCAGTGTAGTGACGAGGATCCGTTTCGCAATCAAATTTCGCCTTGGAGATCACAGTTATACTTGAACGTTTTTTTTTTGTAAGTGTCTACTTTACCTCTTTAGATATTGTTTTTGTGACTTTGTTTTCTTAAAAATTGTTAAACTTGTCACTTAAATACTTTAAATACCTGAGGCCCACCATTTTTTTCTAGGGTGGGCGCTTGACTTCGTTCAAGTTTTTTTCTGAAGAGAAAAACATGTCTTCGCCGCCCGGGTATTCAGCTGTGGGAGAAGGAGGCGCAGTGGGAGTCGGTATTCGTAACTTTTCCGCTTGTGGAAGGGGAACGACTTTGGCTAATGTCATCCCAACGGTCAACCCCAAAACAAAGGTATGTTCATAATTTATAAGGCTAATTAATGATGGTATTTTTAATGTGGTAATTAATTATTAATGTGACATTTGTTTTAATAATTTTTTTAATTTTTAATGTGAAACTGGGCTAGGCCTAGGGCCTAGGCCTAGGCCTGTGGTAAACATATTGACGTTTGTTGTAGCAATTTAGGTTCGCTTTTGTGTTTCCTGCCAACTCACTCAGTTGGTTGTTTGTTTTTTTTTTGGTGTTTTTTTTTTTGGTTTTTTTCTTTTTATTTTCGTTTTTATGGTTTTTTGTACTATTTATTTGTAAATTGTTTCAGAATAAGAATATAAGAACTAATAATTCATAATTTTACTGGCAAAATAATAATTTAAATATAATGATTAAATGAGGAGAGCTTTGTTTTCCTTAATTTATTAAGCGGCACTAGCCAATAATAGGACTAGCTAGTGCAGTGCCAATTTGTTGCACATTGCACCCTCATCTTGTATTTTAATTGTTTATAATATTATGAAAGTCCTTTTTTTATGTTTGATGAGCCATAAATATAATTAATACCCTTATCATGCCATAGTGTTGTTGATCATGCTGTAATTGGATAAAGGAGCCCATGTCAATCAATATATACATGCAAGCATAGGATTAGGAATGGTAGAATACTTTCTCTTGTTTCTTGCACTTAAGCCCTACTTCAACGCACCACCAGAATCTCAATCAAATCTAGATTAAATAGAGATTCTTTTTATATTTTATTAATTTTTCTTAATGCCTCTCGTCTTCCGACAGCCCATTCACTTTCTCTTGCCATCCTGTGCAGTCTTCAGCTAAACTGTTTATTGTTGCTGTTTAATTTTATTAAAATTGTTGTTAATTATAACATTTATTGTTGAATCAATTTTTGTTGGCCAGATTTCTGAGTAATCTGGCCGATTTACAGTAAGTGTTACAATAGATACAGGGAAGGCAAGCCAGCCCTCCCCAGATGTGTATAAGAGACAGATCAGGAGCAACAACTTATATTTAAAATTATTCCCTAATTTTGGGTGAAGACCATTTCCAAACGAATCTGTTCTGGCTGCAATGTGTTTAAAAAACCCAGGAAATCAGAAACTTAAACTGTATTTGTCTTTATACACTGTGTTTATTTTAGCAATAAATAGGCTTATCATATCAGTTCCCAGTTGGGAATTTTAAGTCTGTTCAAACTTACAGGAGTATGCTCATTTCTTGTGTGTTATGTCTGGCCTTGGTTTCCATTGTCAAATTTATAAATAAAATATGTTGTTTTTTTTCTCTCTCAATCTTTTTATTACTTTAATAAACAAATGCATTATTTAATTGGCAGTAGGATATTTAATAGTCCTTCAATGAATGAAACCAACTGAATACATAAAATACAAAATGTGTTTCTTCCATACATCATGGTTGAACATGTTTGCGGCTGAAATGCTCTGGCACATTACAAACCCTCTCATTTGAAAATAGGTCGTTGAATGACATTCCGCAATATGTGAAATAGCAATTATGGAACTTAAAAACATCTTTTTTTTCTATGCCCATCCATGGATTCAAATCATCCTAACAAAACAATTATAAATTGTTAAGGCCTTATTTTATCAAAAGTCGATTTTAATTATTGTTTGAAGGTATGCATGGCGAAGTGAGTAAAGTTGAATAGCTTAGTGGTTAAGATGCTTGCTTGTCCTGGGTTCAATCCCTGTCAGTGTTGCAGCATCTTTTCTGAACCAAAACAAGTCCAATCCCTAAACCTCATATTAAGATTTAGTTTGTGTAAAGCATCATAATGTGTATTGCCTTGTGAAAGGGATTGTCACCTACTGTACAAGTTGGACAGTGATATCGATATTGACAGTCCTTGGTGTATGTGTTGTGTGCCTACTCTAAGTAAATAATAAAATAAAAGATAATAATAAGAGCCTGTAAAATATAAATACTCAGAGTTATATTACACAATGTCAGTGTTCTCCCAATTGAATCATTTTTACTGGTAAATTTTTCCATAAAAATTGAGCTATGTGTACAGTGTCTGGTATTAACCTTTTTGAGTGGGGTTTACTGATTGAAAAAAACAACATTGAAAGGAGGTTAGCCTAGACTACCTAGGCCTAATCAGTGGTTTTTGTATTTCACAAACACAAATTTTTTACTGGTTACCCCAATATTTTTAGCTGTAAAATTGATGGCTAAAACAGCTTCGGGAGAACACTGCTATGTACAGTAGATCTTTCCAAAAAGCAACTCAGTCAAAACATCAAGACATTCTTAATTAAACAGTAGTTCTTTTCAGAAGGTGTTGTGTCACAAGCATTTATATATTGATTTTAATTTTTTTTTAATTTCAGAATTTTCCAGAGCAACTGGCCAAGCCTGTTTGCAATTGTTTCAGGCACCCAACACAAGTGATTTGCAGGACGTGTGGCTTGATGTTCCACGGCCGCTCAAGAATGATTTGCCCCCAACATCCACAGGTCATCCACCTCATGGACTCAGACAAGTGCCCAAAGTGCCATAGTAACAGTTTGAAAGAATTTATATCTAACAGCGTACCAAGACCGAGAGAAAGCGCAGATGGCGCAGATAGATGGGACTGAAAGATTGTTAAAAGTGTGGCTTACTCTATGCAATTGAGAAAATAGAAATATAAGATGGAAGCTGCAATTTAAATCCAATGAAATTTTTATTTTCACGTCCAGGATTTTACTTCTTTTTTTTCCACCCCCCCCCCCCTCCCCCCTTTTTTTTTTTTTGCTGAGGTTCTATTTGCTATTTACTATCCTATAGTGGTAAACAGGCTCTTAAATAATATTTTCTGTGGTCCAAAATTAAAAGATGTCTTTATCATTATTATTCTAATTAGAGACCAAAGCTGCTAAACACCATGGAAACCATGGTCCCAAAAATAGTCTTTATGGGAGGGGAGACCTGTATTTTATTTTATAAAAGGAGTAAAGTAACCTTTGTAATATATTCTGCCATTTATTTTCCACCTTTGCCATTCTTTCTTTCAGATCTTTATTTTTATTTACCATGGAAAAATTATTGTTTTTTTTTATTAGCGGATATTAGATTTTTTTCAAGAGCCTACAACATTTTACGAGGGTAGGGACGTGAAACTATCAATTATTTTTTTATTTGGCCTAACGACTTCCTTTATTATACTTATACACACTTGGGCTTTTAATCTGCTGGTTGAAGCCTTCTTTAAATTCTAAAAACTGATTAGGCCCCATAAAAAAATTATTAGTTTATCGCCGTATCAATGAATAAAAAGTGATGAGGGAGAGAGGTTTTTTTTTTTTTCTAACCCCCGCCCCCATTTTACCGATGTTCACAGTAAATTAATGGTTAGGGACACATATAAAAAATCATAAGAATGGAATCAAATTTATAATTAAAAATTATATGTTTTGTTGTTTTAGTAAACATATCTACAAGAAATTCTGAGCTTTTTAAGTGAAAAAAGACGGAAAAATGACCGTTTGAAATAAAAATATATTTTGTTTGAAAAAAAATAAAAATCTGAATTTCCCAAAAAGTGGTGAGGGAGGGGTGATAAACTAATAATATTTTTTATGGGGCCTTACTTTGGCCATGTTGGCAGTGCCATTTTTGTTCCAGGGTTAAATTTGTGCTTTCAATTCAAATACACATTCCAATGTTTTTTAAATGTCTTTCATATTTTCTGGTGGCATTCTGTTGGAGGTATGCTATTTAATCACTTATTAAAAATTTGTTCATACTATGAAATTTTATGCTACAAAAAACTGTGATACACCCATGTTGGTTTATAATTATGACACCATCATGACCCATAATATGTGTGCAATACACACATTTGTCACATAGAAATTTGATAGTACAGGTATAGACATGCCTGTCCTGGTAATGTAAAACCAACAAACCCACCACAAGATAACTCTACAGCTCATGCAACCTAAACAAAACTTTTGTACATACAAAATATATTAATATTCATGTGGAATCTCTCTACAGTATTGTATACAAAATTGTACATTCCAAATCATAAAGCATAATGTTCTCCTTGATCAGCATTGTAGTGATTTCTGATGTCCAATATTATTAAAAAAGTTAAATTGTTGAAAGAAAATATTAAATTTATCAATAATTTACCATATAAAAGTATAGAAAATGGTATTATTTGATACTGTAGGCTGGATAAAATATAAACTTAATCAAGTGTCAGTGTTTTTTGCATCATAACCAAAAGTTCAGTACAGAAACACAATACTTAAACGGCCAAATAAATAAAAACCGAAAGGTCCACTGATTCATCTCGGATAAGAAAGTATAATGCATACTCCAAGTATTGAAATAAGCGATGGCGTGTATTTCAATACTTGGAGTATGTATTGTACTTTCAAATAAATAAAATTACTAGATTCTCGTCCCAGAGAAAGAAATTATTTTTTTGTACTTTGCCTGAATCAAACCTATTATTTTTCTGAAGCCCTGTCCAGACTATAAAATTATATTTTTTAAAAAAAATCATGTGACATGCCTAAATATGGTTATGATGACATCACATTATGACCATATATAGGAACATCATGTCATTGGCATACAACAGTTTTTTGTAACAGAAAATTTGATAGTGTGGATATAAAGTTATGTTAACCTAATTAGAATGAATGAATAAGCAGGCCACATGATGGATGAAACATTTGTTGTTATAAAGTCCTGTCTGACAATCAAATTTAATTTGACAAAAGCCATGTGAAATGACTAAATATTGTCATGATGACATCACATCATGACTATATATAGGCACATCTTGACTATATACGTGCATATTATAACACTTTTTTGTCAAAATTTGATAAACTAGACAGGGCTTAGGTTGTGTAAATTGTTATTTATACCTCCATTATACTATACAACTCATTTTTGCGTACTGGTTGTTGATTGTTGTTTATCAAAGGAGTTTATCAAACTGTTATGGTAAAGAAAGAAACCAACTTGTTATAGGGTGTGTACTAATTTTAATAACAACATTCCTTTGTCAATGATTCTATTTGCTTGTGTAGTGTTATGTAACAGTGAATATTAACTACAGCCTGAGTCACCAAATGGAAAAAAAAAAAAACGATTCATGTTTTTATTACATTCATTTCCAATAGAATTTACATTCATTGCAATTATTTTGCTATTTTGATGTCTTGTAAGAAGTCGTTCCCAATTATCAACATTTTTGCAAGTGTACAAACAGTACTTTTTTCAGTACACCCTTTCGTCTCTGGAAGTGTACATAAAAAAAATGTTGATTTGCAAAACTTTTCTCCATTGTTTTTTGTGTACAATAGTAAAACTGACCAAGGAGGTATATAAAAAAGGACTGACGTACCGTACTGTACTTTAGTTGCATAAAAATCGGTCGGGCCTGTTATATCCCTGGTTGCATTACAGAAATACATTATTTTATATATAATATTGCAAGTTACTTTGAATTCATATTTAAAATCATGCAGAATTGTCCCCTTCACCCTAGCGTACTGTTTGTGTACTTGTATGAATATTGATAATTGTGAACGACCCCTAACTAGCAATCAATTAAATAAATGTTATAATCATAATTGTTTTCATGAAGCTGTTCTCTTAGAAAATAGTTTGTAGATTGTCAATATCGAGAAAAGTTTTTAGTTTTTTACACAAAGAAAACGTGTTAAAGGTGTACACACCTTCCTTTGATTGTACAGTATAGTATAATATGTATTTTTATTTTAAATGTTTGATTTTATTTTTTACAGTACAGTATTTAGTTTTAAGGTTTTAAGTACATACCGGATTTTGTATTCAGATTAAAGCCCATTGTTAGATGAGCGGTATAATAAAACTATCCTTGTTTCAGATCTAATCAAACAAATTGTCTTTACATTTCTGATGGACATCCGAAAGTCCTATATTTAACTCTGATCAAACTTTTTTTTAGCTTTGACCAGACTGTTAATCTTTATTAGACAAAAAAACAAGTGATGCTTAAATTTTGTCATGATGACATCACATCATGACCATATATAGGCACATCATGACTATATATGGACATACAACAGTATTTGGTCAAAGAAAATTTGATAATCTGGACTGACCCTAGAATAAGAGATAGTGAACCTGTACTTTATATAATGCTACTTAATAATAATATTACACCAAAGCAGTGGGAAAGTTTTTACTGTTGACTTTTTGCCAACACGTTCTAGCTTTAAACTTACAATATAGGTTGTTAAATGTTTGTTTCACATTTGAAAAACAAAGATGATATTGTATAATAAGTTGTAGAAAAATATTAAAAAACTATTTTCTTTGATGATATTGTGTCTGGTATGCAGTTCGTTACTGTGTGAATCGTTAGTTTACTAGGATACCAGTTTTATTATCTCCTTACCCTTTTTATCCTGTTTCCATCTGCCACTATACAATATTTTTTTTTTTCTGTTCTTTCTGCATTCTTTTTTTTTATTTATTGAAGATATGACTACACAATATACTCGAATATTTAAATATACAGTAATATGTACTGTAGGGTGGTATAATTCCTTTATCATAGAAATGCTGCACCCAATGCCATTAGTTTAGAGGTCAGTGTGGTGTGTCCTTGATGATTTGTAGGGCCAGTTTTGGCCTTGCCAAACATAATTCCCAGGATAACCATGTCAACTTGATTTATGAAAGATACTGAACTATCATGAGTGGAGCCTGCACCTTTGAACCATCACTTTGTTTGAGAGTGAGGGAGAAAGCAGGCCATCTTAGGATTAAATGATACAGTACTACTGTATGCCCAAGTAATTTAATTACTCAATAATACAGTTATAAATATACTGAATAAAATGTTTTAGTTAGCAAGATTCTTATTTAGGCTGATAAAAAAAAGCATTTGTGGGTACTGACCACAATCATTACAAACGAATAAAATGAAAAAAAAAAAAAAAAAATATTTATGTTACAATAAATTGTTAATCAGTTAATCATTTATATTTTGCTTGGTAATTATTGTAGTTTAAATGTAGTTTTTCTGTGTTTTTTTTATAATGTTTTCTTAAATTATAGTTTGAATCAATTATTTAATTAATTTGTATATAATGTAATTAATGTCATATTCATCCAAATTTATATTTTTGTATTGTATTTTGTATCCTTATGTAAAGCGCCTTTCAACATGAAGACTCATGAAAAGGCCGCTATATAAACTTGGTAAATAAATAAGTAAATAAATACAGTCACTTTGTACCTGTGATGCAAATCAAACCTGCAAATGAGTCTAATAAACATTTTTGAAGCGTAGAGGGCGCCCAATCATTAACAATGAATCATGCTTGTTGGTTGTTTACAACGGAATAAACATGATTTTCTGCACGTTCAGTGAAACAGTTGGAATTCAATTTTCTTTTGTAGTAATTTTATAATGAACGTGAGTTCCAGATAATGTTCATAGGCATCAGTTAACCAATTGTTGTATGTGTTCATCGTCTTACGTGGATGGAACTTTCTAGATGAGGTCATTAAGTGGGATTACTTCTTTGTCTTGTGCAGCAGTCTAGGCCTGGGCCCGAGATAGGCCTCTGTCAGAAAGGACTCCGTGATCCGGAGAAAGACGGGGTTCGCCCTGGCAGCTTTGAAAGCTTAGGGGGCCAGTGCGCCCCAAATAGACTTAGTAAACATGTTGCCTACAAGTGCCTGGCTTGCGTTGGTGACAGGCTTTTGGTCACTTCTGTATTTGTTAGATGCTTATGCAAAGGTAAGCTAACTCATCTAACTGGTTACTGAAAATGTTGATGGTGTTCATGGCCCCAGGCCAGGCAGGACTTTACATGGTGCAGTGCAGCGGTGCGCACATAATACCCAGTCCAGCATGTTAATTGCCATGCATGACCGGCATTGTACCTGTCACTAAAAGTGACGTGTTCATGTTATTATGTACAGTATGTGACTAGGATACGATGTGCTGAGTGTAAGAAGGCACATAGGGCCTGGGCCTACCTGTGTACAGGTTTATTCGAATCTTCGAATCAAATGTACTAATGGAGACTTTAGTGGATATGTTGCCTACACAAGTCAGGGGTGCCTGGCTTGCTTTGTTGGTCATAGGCTTTTGCTCAATTCTGTTGTATTTGTCAGAATCTTATGTAAAGGTAAGCAATTAAGCTAGGCCTGGGCCTAGTTGTTGGTATTCATGGTTTTGTGCAGTGCACACACTGTCACTGAAGTCCATGTTTAGGCGACATTATGTGACTATATAGTATAGGGAGGGTACGGTGTGCTAAGTGTAAAAACAATTCCGCAAGAAGGAAGGCACCTACCTGTAGGTTTAATAAAATCCACACTTTGGCTAATAGTGTAGTGCACTTTAGTACACTGCCCTTTAACCCTAACCACAGTCTCACAATCTTAAAGGTGGTATGTCGGGAAGTAAGAGTACTATAATAGTACATTAGCCCACAAAATTCTACTAGTCAGAGCACTGAATAAATAAATTTTGTTCTGATAATGCATCGTTTATCAGATCAGATAGCCATCCATACATAGTCAATTCATAGTCAAACCTTAAGGCTGGGTGGCCCCATCAACCATAAATATATCCCTGCTGTTAGCTGGGAAGATAATTTAGCTGAAAAAACGATTTACCAGGAATTGTTGTTGACATTATTTCTTTTAATAATTACAGACTCATAAACGCTATGGTCTACGTTATTGCGAATTCCAAGATAGAAATGGCATCCAAGTTACAGTTGCTCAAGTGCGCTGGTACTCAACTTGTCTCAACCGGGTATTTTTAAAAGTTGGCCAGTGGAAACCGGCGTTAACGAGAGTCTGGTTTACAGCCGGTGTCTGGTTCGGGATTGCTGCAATGCTGTCCTCCATAGCCCTCCTTATATGGACTTTAATTAAATCATTTTCAGTTGAGAAGAAGGAAAGAGTATTAACTCCTGTGGTAGGTTTTATTTTATGAGATATTTCAAAGTTATATTTTGCTGAAAGTAGGGCCTACTTGACAGATATAAATTTAAAATACAGCACTCAGTATATATTATCTAAGAATATAAAAATAATTGAATTTCTGCAATTATTAGGAAAATGCTTTGAATGAACATAAGATTTCCTCTAGTATAGTAATTCTTTTGGGAAATTATACGTTCCTGATTTAAGTATCATAAACATTTTTGTAATAAAATCAAATTAAATTAAAAATCTTCCCTTTGATTTCAGATGCCGGGTGTGAATTTACCACTGAATCAAATTGTGTATTATTTTGCTGTTCTTTTTATAAGTGGCGTTTTTCATGAGTTTGGACATGCGATGGCAGCTGTAAGGTTAGTGTTTAAGTATAGTCTGCAAATATATGGTACACTAGTAAAAATTACAGGCCAAAGATCAAAGGGTGTGACCTTGCAGGGGCAGATTCCTGATGGTTATACCAGGGTACCACAAAATTGAGTGCAGATATTTGTGATGGAAATGAATATTCTAAAATGTTGATAAAATTCATTAAATTCAGTTAAAAAAAATTGTAACCAAGTGTCTTATTGTTTTCCTCTCTTTTTTCCATTTTAGGGAGCAGGTTCGAGTAAATGGATTTGGAATATTCCTGTTGGCCATTTATCCTGGTGCGTTTGTGGACCTTCACACGGACCAACTTAATGCGGTTTCTCCAATACGCCAGCTACGCATCTACTGTGCTGGCATATGGCATAATTTTGTTCTCGTCCTTGCTGGAATTTTTGTAATGCTGACGTTACCGGCTCTACTATCACCGTTGTATGTGACAGGGTCTGGCGTGGTGCTGACTGATGTTATCAAGGTTAGTGTATCCTTAACACTCTTGACCCCAGTGGGGTTTCTAGGTGACCTTCATACCCCATTTGGTCCGTATGCTAGATTAGACTAATGCATGAAGAAATTTATCTTTAGACTGTGCAGTACAGTACGTGCAATACTGTAAACAGAGTAGGCGAGAACTAAGGTCTGACAAACAAGTGCTCCTGGACATCCAAAGGGGCAAACATAGCTGGGAAGACAAGGCTCTCAGCACTGGGGGAGCAAGGCTCTTACATAAACTTTCTTTAAACGTCAAACATTTACCGTCACTTGACAGTCACTTCTCAAGCCCCACCTTTTTAAATAATATTTTTTGAAAGGCAGCACAAGGCAGCACTGTTAGAATGGCGCCATATAAATGGAGCAATTGATTGATTGATTTATTTATTAATTTAATTTTTAAATTGTCGTTGCAGAATTCTCCTGTGTTCGGTAAACATGGCCTTCAGTCCGGAGACTTTGTAAACGCTCTTAATGGCTGCCCTGTAAACAGTATTGAAGACTGGAGTCGATGCATGGGTGCAATCGTTTACTATCCACCTCCCGGTTATTGCATGCCTGTTGGTAAACTTCAACAGATGAGTCATACAGTTCCTTGTAAGTTAATACAGAGATCCTAAGTTTTGACGAATTTAATTTTGCTTCTATATACTTGGTATCCTGTTTATCTACTGTTCTCCCACTGGCCCAGTTATGCTTTTGAAACTCTGACCGCCAGGGGTTTGAAAAAATTTTATCAGCCACTGCCAGAATTTTTAGCAAATTTTAACACTTTTCAGAAGCTCATTGAGAGTGCATAAATAATCAGATTGACATGTAGTGAATACTACAGGAACTACAAACTTTTTAGCTTTACAATGGTACCAAACACTTTATTCTAATCACAATTGTGACAGTAAAATGAAAATACGCAATTTGCACAACAAAGCTGAGATAATTGGTTTTTGTGAAAGTAATTCAATACTGCTCTACGCTAATCTAAACAAACAAATAGTGAAATACTTACGGTCCCGACTTAAAATAGTGTTTAAATGTTAGCACATGTCGGTAATTACCCCATCTATCAGATTCCATAAAAAAAAAAAACATGAAACACAGAGATCTCCGTGTTTGGCGGCCAAGTGTTGCGTTACCAAACACGGAGATCTTCGTGTTTTCCTGGCAGAGTGTTAATAACTAAGACAATTGAGACTCAGGGAGTGGAGTTGTTCTGGTCATAAAAAAAAATCTGCTGTCACAAGCCAGGGCCCTGTAATTGGAAGGCAAACATCTTAACCGCTGAGCTATTTACTTCACTCCACTACACTTTGCAAGCACAAGATTTTTAAAACTAATACCCCTAGGGTTTCTGTATAGCCTTTACCAACATACGTATTTGGCCTAGTTGCTATATGTTGGGTTCCCTGTTTAGGACTGGTTTTCACAGGTCTTCATTCATCATCATCATCATTTATTTAAGTCAGTTTTCTTCCCTCTTGCAAGGGGTTACTGACTGTCACTCGTTCCATGCAGCTACACCATCTTTCCACTTCTTCCTGTCTTGTGCATGTCAGGTCTTCATTAATACCTCTTATTGATTGATTGATTGATTGATTGATTGATTGATTGATTGGCTAATTGATTGATTGATTGTTCTTCTAGTGTACGTTGGCTATGGAGGGCATTTGGAATGTTGTAACAACACCAGCGCGTCTGATTTGTGTTTTAGTTACGAAATTGTGTCCGATTCTGAGAATCAAGAGAAAGTAAATATTCAAAATCATTATTTAGCATCATTGTCATTGAACTCCTCATCACCCTCACTGATCCTCATCACAGTCATCAATATCTTTATCTCATCTTCACTATTATAAATTGTGATCATGCCATTATTATCATCATCATCCTCAACATAATCATCATCAACATCATAATCAGCATTCCAATTTTTATCATCATAAACATCATCATTATCAGCATCTTTGACATCATTATTACTTCCCTTCTTCATGATCATTATCACCATTTTTTATCCTCATCACCATCATCATCATCGTCATCATCATAATAATCATTGCTGTCAACATTATTATCACTATTACCAGCATCCTTATAATTACTGTATCATTGTCATCATCAACATAATTATCATCATTGCTATTAAAATTATCATTACTATTACTGGAATCATCATTACCATCATCCTCATCCCTCTTAATCATCTCCTTATTTTATTTGCCTTTTATGCACATTTTTTTGTTTTTCTAATACATAATGACCATTAATTAGTGAGTTTTGATATCCTTTACAGAGTCATTCATGCGTCGAAGCTAGGCCAGTGACTGAGCAACCCAGGTGTCAGAAAAATAGTGATTGCTTAGCAGCACGTAGGACGGTGTGTATACATCCATTTTTAGACAAGAACACTAAACTGATCAAGATTATGAAAAGCAGAGGAAAATCTGTTCTATATGTTGGTGATCCATATCTTTTTGGACATTCAGGTAATGTGTCTCATTGTGTTTGCAAATCTTCTTCTTACCAAGTCTTTTCACGAGGTTCATACAATGGGGAACAATGTTGATTTAATTCTATAAACTTGTCAATTGACGGTAAGATCCTTATGTATATTGGTGAAAGGATTGGTAGGAACAGGGCCGCGACGTGAACGCTCATTCTTGACCCCCATGCGAACTTGCAAATGATAATAATGGTTGTCATGCTGTGTAAACCTTGTACTGTTTTTGGCATTCCTATCAAGTAACCAGTGCAAGTTGTTGAGAACTCCTTTTAAAGATTAGAATCTTAATCTTAGTGTCTCTCAGTGGTGGCGATGGTTTGGGCCCAGACGGGGACAGCTCAGCCCGTTTCCTGTCAGGGAAAAAACAACTATTTGTCGGGAAAAAATAAATTCCTGTGTAATTTTTACAGAATTTGAGAATCTAAAAATCGAGTAAGCCTTTCAAATGCCTAAATTGTCAGGAGTTTCCAGGGGCCTTCTCCCCAGGACCCCTTTTTAAGGGTTCTGGGCTGCCTCGACCTTGCCCACTTATGCTATCGTCAGGGAAGACATTGGCGAAGTTGTTCCACTCCTCTATTCTGTTTTTAAGCAAATCAACTGGTGTATTTCTATGTAATTTTGACATGCACAGAAACAGTGTCTCTTAAATAATGAAGCAACATATTTTTTTTTTCGTGCGTTAATGAATTTGCTAATAATTTGAATTTTTTTTTTTTTTTTTTTTTGCAGTTAGTGTCAGCAACTATATTCCAAAGTATTCCTATTTGCCGATCTCACTTCCAGATATTATAGATCTGTTCTGCAGGTATCCTTTGAAATGTTAATCTTCTATCTGGTTTTATATATTTCTTTGAAATATATCCATATATTAAATCATATATCTTGTGTGCACATGTGTTGTGTAGACATCAAAAGAGCATTGTTCTATTCAAGTTCATTGACAGGCCATTGTAATGCATGTGATTAGGAGTTATTTGTAGTCTTACTATCCTCATATACATGAAAAGAATTGTAATTATTTGCTCATGTAGACAAAAAATTGTAGGCCTTGATAAGTAGACCTTGAATGTCAGATACAGGAGAAGTAATAAAAACAAAACAAATTCATTCATAGCTGCTATGCATGCGTTCTGGTGTTGGCAAAGCCTACATGTGGATTTTGTGAACTAATGACAATGGAATACTAATGTGTATTTGTCTAAAACCTTTTCTTCTTGGCAGAAGAAACTTTATTTATTAAAAAATAATTTAAACAGTATCAGGACATATTTACAAAGCAGCTAATTTTAATTTTATTTATTCATTGATTTATTGATCTTTGTTACGTTCCTTAATTTTTCTTATAGATATCTAATTTCCTTGTCGGGAGCTTTGGCAATCTTGAACGCTGTACCGTGCTTCGCTCTCGATGGCCAGTATATCCTCACCGCCTTTATTGAGTTTTCTTTAAAAACTGTCTTGCCGAATCGAGAAGATAGGGAAAGTGTTCAGTCACTAACTCTAATATTTGGGACAATTCTACTTGCAGCTAATATTCTTCTTGCCCTTTATACTTTATTTGTGAGCTAATTGTGATTTGTTCATAGAGTAATTATAAATACACTAGACTGCTAAGTTGAACACATTTCATCCTGAAATTTAGCAGCTTTATTGGAGTGTAATCCCTTTCAAAATGGCCATTCTAAATGCAATACTGTACCGACTCTATTTGAAGAATGCTTACAGTACCTAGATAAAGTGACTGCCATTTGTACTTTTAGTGGCACCCCTTGAAGACAATGGAACAGTCCATCCCAAGTAAGGACATTCTTACTAGCCCATACAAATTTAGGTTCATGGGTTTACAAGTCAGGAGCGATTCCAACAGTCACCCCCCCCCCCCCCCTCCTACCTTCTTAAAAATGTCAATGCATATCAATGTTATGTGCTATTCAGTTTTCACTGTTGTGCCCCCCCCCCCATTTGAAAAATTCTGGATCCACCCTTGCAAGTGTTACTACAAGTCAGTCCATTACTTTAGTTTTATACAAACTCGATTTACGTCACAGTTCAACCAGCTTACACAGGCATATACAGTATATTAACAGTTAATCATTTCTTTTTTCCACAAAACTTGCTTTTAATCACAGTTAGTACCATCTTATACACAAGCTTATCTTATTACACAAGCATTACTTTGTGTAAACTGCAATACATCCACCCTTTGCTATGTACAAGCTCTGAATACAAAAAGTTAGTGTCCAAATTATATTTTCGGAATTGCTGTTAATATAAGCAGCGCAATTCAAATTCTGCTTTAATTATGAATATTAAAATTAGGACAAAAATTAATTATATCAATGTATTGTATGTTGCCAGGGAGATAGTCGATAGTACATTAGTAAATATCAAGCAAAGTTGCCTTTGCACAAGTTTCTGCGAGATTATTGCTTGCTCTGAACAGATTTCTTGGAGATTCCCAAAAAGAAGTGCTCAAGCCATACCTGGCATGGGTGGTGCACATATGAATGCATTCGGCCATTTTGGTTAGCAGTCTAGTATTTTTGTAATAACTTTATGAATTTGTTATACAACTATCATTTTTATAGCATAGATTTTTATATGATATACAAAAATAATGATGCTTTTTATTAATGAAATTTAGAATGCTTTTTTGATATACTGTATTGTTTCTGTCTCTTATACACATCTAGATGTGTATAAGAGACAGCTATAAACTTGTCAATTGACATACGTTTTAATTATCACCTGTTATATTTCTGCTTTTGTACCACTTTTCAATGTAAAGAAAGCAATTCTTAAGTATGATATTGAAGTACACGTACGAAACACATGTTTTAACTAATTTCAATTACGTTACAGGCATGCCCAGGCTTTCAACAAGTGAAAATTTGACAATAGAACGATTTGATATTTTTGTCAGTTGTATAATTAAAACACATTCGAATTTCTTTCGATGAAGTTTTGTAATTGTTTTTCCCAATGCTATTTGGTATGAATTTACACTGAAATAACAATACAATAACAATTTTTTAGAAATGCTAATATGCTAAGTAGGACCTATGTATTTATTATTGATCATTATATCAACTTCTTGCATCGTATGCTTTTTGTTACCAAAAACCCTCCTATTTTTCTTCAACCTTTTTCATTAAATACAAAATGGTTAAATTTGAAGGAGGTTTAAATATATTTATGCTTTTTTTTCGGTTTGTCTATAAACCAAGGGCTAATATAGGTATATACAATGGAGCCAGCGTCTATAGAGCAGATTTAGCATGGTAGATAAAAAATGTTCAATAGAATCGAGCAAAACCAGTGAAGCACATGCCAATATTTGGAAATTGGCCACGACACCAGAAAGAAACTTTCATATATCCTCTCCCTTCCCCCCCCCCCCACATCCACTTTCCCAAAATAGCCTCTAAAGTTCGTTTTCCTGAGTAAATTAACCATTACTGTATTTACACTGGACCAATGGCTGACATCCATCCACCAGGGGCGAGGTCTATGGGGTACAATGGGTCTCAAGTTGGAAGAAGTCAATTCCGTTAGTAAGGGTGCCAGTGGAAAAAATTGGGAGTGGGCGGGGGCTTCCCCTTAAATCCGCCACTGATCTGGTTAATGAGCTTTCGTAACATTTAATTTTATTTTGTTGCACATTGTGATACACATTGGCAATGATTTCGGTCAGACAATTGATAATAAAGCAGTGAAAACGTGTACATAGTATGAATTTGATTCTTGCTTGCTTTTGGGGGTGCGGAAGGCCGTCCCGATTTTCGGGAGACTCCCGCGAGACTTGGGATCCCTAGGACACAAAAGTCTTAACATGGGATTCCAGGGAGGGTTTCAGTATACCTGCTTGTATATATATATTGCGTCACCTGATACTCCTTTATTACGCCTTCGTCGGGAACATTGACACCCTCAATTAGGCATGCACATATTATTTCGTAGGTAAGTTTGGTAAAAATGTCATGAATTATCCATAAGTCTTTTTATAGACATATTTTGCGCATGCACTAATTTCAAGTATGTGTCAGCCAATGGTCAGCCTGATTAGCTGCTCTGTACATTATCACGATAGAATCTAGTTTTCAGTCCTTGTATTTGAATCAGTGCAAAAATAAAACCAGTGATTGAATTTTATCCGTTGGGTCTTTAAGAAGAGTTTTTACCAAATTCACCTAGGAATAACGACAAATACCAAAGTTGCGTTGGGCATATCCTGGCGCCACCTATTGTTTCTTAAACTTTATCTTTGAACATTGATGGCGCCATTTAATAAAACGCAAAGTGGACTACTTATAGATACACACCAACTGAAAGCATACAATCACATTCGTAGTGACGATTTTGACTCGCTGTCATCGAACTATTTAAAGGTATGACATTTAAAGTATTTGTAAAGCTTCAATCAAAATTATGTTTAAATTCCGACTCTGATAACGATAATAATATTAATAGATAAAAAAGTATCATCACTATTAGGATTAGGTCTATTGCAATTATTATAGTGTGTTAGTTATTTATGTTTAACATTATAATAATAGGCATATGTAGAATATATTATTTAAAGATAAAAATATAGAAGTTGGGGTGTATTCTTAATTATAATACAGTTATATATAGGCCTACTTTTCATAAGTTACTAATACGTAGGTTGTCTCGTCCAAGTGGTCATTAGAGCTATGCTGACTTGACGTCAGACACTAACAGACTGGAAGTGCTTTCAATTGTTGGCACTGCAGCTAGTTATATGACATTACATGATAATACAACAGTAATAATAATGAATAATAATGTAGTAGTAGTAGTAGTGTATGTAGCTTAGTGGTTAAGCAGCTTGCCTTCCAATCCCATGGTGCGGGGTTCAAATCTTACAAAAGCACGATTTTTTTTCTCACGATTAAAAAATCAACACTCTCCAAGCTCCGTAATGAGACCACTGATAAAGCATCACATTATTCCATCTTCTTAAGATGGCCCTCAACATCAGCCGATCTTCTAGGATACGCTGGAAGGATCACACTCTATAAATATGATTTAAAGTAATATACATAAAAATTAATAATAATAGTAATAATAATAATAATGTATAAATACGGTGTATATATATATATGTATATATGTATATATATATACATATATTCATATGTATATATAGGTCTATATATAAGTGTATATATATATATATATATATATATATATATATATATACACTATGCTGTATAATGCAGCCGAATATTCTCACAGAGAATGCCTTTTACTGTAATAACAATAATAATTTATACGGTATAACATATATATGAAATTATGTATCATCATGATTATTACTGTATTTTTATATAATTTCAGGCTCCGATTAATATTTTTCCAGAAACTTGTGCTATTGTGTTTTTATTGATTATCATTTCTCTATATGTATCACTTGTTATTATGTTCAGCTTTGGTCCATAATAACATATCGATCACTTCGCCTTCCGTGGTGCTAATTCCTCAGACTCGAATGAATACATCCGCGGCTAAAGAATACGCTCAAGATGAACTTTGAAGAAGTGCGAAGAAATCCTGTTTTCTTCGAAAATCGCTTTGTTGTGGAAGGCGACGATGGTTTTACAGATAGAGGAGAGGGAAGACATGTACCCCAGGGAGGATCTGGGCAGCAGTTAGTATTCGAAACAGAGTCGGTAAGTGAATAACATGTAGAACAGGCCAGGGTAGCATTACCTGATCTCACACTGTCGATAAAAGGTCATGTAGACATGAAACTTTGCACATGACCAAAAATTTTGTTTCCGGACACATACAGTACTGATACTCACTCAGTTTAAGCTGTCACCAGCTCCATTTCAGCAAACATCTAAAGTACATGAAACACTTTTTATACGTAAGACACGTTATTATTAAATAATAAATTAATGTTAGTTAAAATACCCTATCAGATTCTGGTTTAAGCTTACCGTAGCTTTCGCTGTTTTATCGACAGGTTCATTCAGCGGACTGTAACAGAATAGTTATATGACGTAAGGTTATTCAGTTGCAGCCTGCTGAAAAAAGCTGTTGAGAAAACAGCGAAAGTTAAGGTAAACTAATATACTTTTGCAAAGGTATCTTAAACAGTCAAGTAACAACATAAATGCCATTACAAATAAATTAATATTAAGTAATAACCCTCAATCATTATTTATTATTACAAGTGTCGTGTAGGAAAAACACAAATCAAAAAGTCAGCAGACTGTGTGGTATTGTTTAATTAATTATAGAATTGATGAGGATGTAGGCCTAAACTGATTTTAATTTGTTTAATTATTCACTTATTTGACGATAATATAAATGCATAATGAATAAAACGAGTTTTTGCAATTCAAACACGGTGAATTTCTGTGTGCGATAGAACTGGTGTTTTCGCTTTTGTAACCTAATGCCAAGTTTGTGGTTTAGATCAGACCATGGTAATACTCTATCAAGATGCTAAAGCATCCATGTGCACTTTATGAACTCAACTTTTAGGAAAATTGCTGCCATGTGGCTCTACACTGTACCTGCTACGGATCATACATCCTATAGTTACCGTAGGCCTACTCAGTCAAGTACCAACTGAGATATTTACTTTTTATAAAATAAACATGTTAAGTTTAAGTTTCCTCGTAAGTCACGTCGACAAAATTTCAAAGAAATGTCTATTCACACACGTTTATGCTCAATTATTATTGTGCTTGGTTGCTTTGATGTCAGGGTTATGGACCATGAAGGTATAGTATAAACAAACAATTTCAACCCTCCTCTATTCAAGAACAATGTTGGGTATTGGGTATTGAGTAATGGGTTGGCTTCTCATGAATAAACATAGGCCCCTAGAAATTCTTTTCTTTCTTATCGTTTAATGTATACACAGTGTATTGTACTCTACTTGGAATAATCCTATGTTTTGTGTGGCCTTTGCTTCAGCTAACGACACTCTTCTCAACTATATTCTTGCCTGATTACTTATAATAATTTATGGTTATTATAGGCTAACATGAAAAATATAGAAGAAAAGAAAAACTGTATGACAATGAAAACAGCAAGTTTTCCAAGCACAGTTTGAGTGGAGTGATGGGCCGCCTGTGCTGTAAAAGAGCTAAACGTTTCAGGTTATTGCTGTGGGTCAGGCTACTAAGGATCCGAAGCTCCCCCCCCCCAAAAAAAAATCAGTCCTGTAACTTAAAGCTATATATAGACCAGACACGATAAAGACACGACAACGACATATCATCGCGTCGTTTATATCCTTCAACACTGAGCGCATTTATATCGTGTCGTTATCGTGTCTAGTGTAAATTTAACTTAAGCCGGGTATGCACGGAACCGACCGTCGGCCGACAAATTCATCCGCTCTGTGAACGCTTAACGACACAATGCAGACTGTTTTTTCTAAACTGTTGATTCAATAAAAGAACACTTGTTGTGAGAAAGACAAACGTGTGACTGCCTTTATTGCACTTGTAAACTACTGCAAACTGTTAACAGCGTTGCGCACATTACTTCTTTCTATGTCACGTTGCCTTCTGATCTTAGGGTTCTGGATTTCATTCCTGTGACAGCTGGAGTTCTTATCATGATTGAAAACACCCCCACCCTCCTAAGCCTCATAACAAGACACATCTAGATGTGTATAAGAGACAGATTTGAATCAGTGCAAAAATAAAAGATGTAGGCCTAAACTGATTTTAATTTGTTTAATTATTCACTTATTTGACGATAATATAAATGCATAATGAATAAAACGAGTTTTTGCAATTCAAACACGGTGAATTTCTGTGTGCGATAGAACTGGTGTTTTCGCTTTTGTAACCTAATGCCAAGTTTGTGGTTTAGTTCAGACTATGGTAATACTCTATCAAGATGCTAAAGCATCCATGTGCACTTTATGAACTCAACTTTTAGGAAAATTGCTGCCATGTGGCTCTACACTGTACCTGCTACGGATCATACATCCTATAGTTACCGTAGGCCTACTCAGTCAAGTACCAACTGAGATATTTACTTTTTATAAAATAAACATGTTAAGTTTAAGTTTCCTCGTAAGTCACGTCGACAAAATTTCAAAGAAATGTCTATTCACACACGTTTATGCTCAATTATTATTGTGCTTGGTTGCTTTGATGTCAGGGTTATGGACCATGAAGGTATAATTATAAACAAACAATTTCAACCCTCCTCTATTCAGGAACAATGTTGGGTATTGAGTAATGGGTTGGCTTCTCATGAATAAACAAGGCCCCTAGAAATTCTTTTCTTTCTTATCGTTTAATGAATACACAGTGTATTGTACTGTACTTGGAATACTCCTCTGTTTTGTGTGGCCTTTGCTTCAGCTAACGACACTCTTCTCAACTATATTCTTGCCTGATTACTTATAATAATTTATGGTTATTATAGGCTAACATGAAAAATAAAGAAGAAAAGAAAAACTGTAATAACAATGAAAACAGCAAGTTTTCCTAGCACAGTTTGAGTGGAGTGATGGGCCGCCTGTGCTGTAAAAGAGCTAAACGTTTCAGGTTATTGCTGTGGGTCAGGCTACTAAGGATCCGAAGCTCCCCCCCCCCAAAAAAAAATCAGTCCTGTAACTTAAAGCTATATATAGACCAGACACGATAAAGACACGACAACGACATATCATCGCGTCGTTTATATCCTTCAACACTGAGCGCATTTATATCGTGTCGTTATCGTGTCTAGTGTAAGTTTAGCTTAAGCACGGAACCGACCGTCGGCTGACAAATTCATCCGCTCTGTGAACGCTTGACGACGCAATGCCGTTTGCTGGCGAGCAGACTGTTTTGCTAAACTGTTGATTCAATAAAAGAACACTTGTTGTGAGAAATACAAACGTGTTGACTGCCTTTATTGCACTTGTAAAGTACTGCAAAGTGTAATTAACAGCGTTGCGCACATTACTTCTTTCTATGTCACGTTGCCTTCTGATCTTAGGGTTCTGGATTTCATTCCTGTGACAGCTGAAGTTCTTATCATGATTGAAAACACCCCCACCCTCCTAAGCCTCATAACAAGAATCGAAAAGCAACGTCCCATCCTGTATTGCTGAATTGCTTTCTGTTGAATGAGAAATTTTAAAAAATAAAATCTGGATTAATATGCTGGCTAGTTGGTAGGCCTAAAAGAGTAATTTGCCTCTGATGTTTCGCTCATTTTTTTTAAAATTATTATTAGGCTATATTAGATTTCTTTTATAACTTTTTGGTTGAGATAATTTGTAGTATGGCACTATTTAAAAGGCATTAAAACCATGTCTATGTTGTAAGGCGCCCTAGAAACACGAGCCATCAGGCAAAACAGATATACCATTGTGTGATGTTGAATAGTACAATGGAATAACGGATACGGAACTAATCATGGAGCTATAAAATTGTTCTCCATAGATCAGCTAATTTGTTTATTTCATTACTAATGGTATGTGCTTCAACCCATTTTTGATGCAAAGTGCTTTAGAAACCCAAGGCATCGGGCACACAATTACTATTACACTCTGTTCGATGTTGAGTACAGTAATAACATTACTGCCTAGATAATTCCAGATCAAACTAATCTCTACAGCAATTACTAATGTTATATATTAGTTAAACTAGACCTAACGATTCCCTTTATAGTATGAATTGTTCTGCATTTTTATACTATTATCATTATTTTTATTATTAATCTATTATTTTCCAAAAATATGTAAATATTTCCGATCATACAAGAGTAAAAGAAAAACCATTTTGATAAATTAAAATTAAAAAAAAAAAAAAAAAAAAAAAAAAAACACCTTTGGATCCTATATTGCTTATTTGAGGTATCTTGCATTCATTCATTTTTCTAACTATTTTAGATTGTGCCTTACCTTGATCCTTTTGATGTAGTAGTGATCTATGTCTTTCAACCCTACAGCGAGAACTTACGAGACCGATTGGCTGGTGGAAAATTTAGTTGATCTCAATTTAGATTTGAAAGTTAATGAATACTGTACAAATCTTGCTTGACATTATTTGATCACCTGTGGTTGATCGTAATAATGTCATTTTAATCATTGTTTGGATGCTACATCGAAGTTGATAAAAGCTGTCAAACTGTGACAATATGAAATTTTAAGCCTATTTCCTCTTATTAGTTCATAAATGTATCCATTATTATCAATATTTATTTGATTTTTTCATACTAAGTAACATTTTCAGTATCACAATGTCTGGTACTGGACTTGTAACCGTGATACTAGATCAGATATAGTGGCTATTGACTGTATACAGTTAGCGCTTACAGACACTACATTTCTCATCCATCTGGTCTCATAATGAGGCTTAGGTGATTGGAGCTGTTTATTTCCTGATTCCTGCAATCTACTCTCACAGGAAATCAACCCACGAACCTGAAGGCAAGCATCTCGTATTCAACTAAAAAATAACCACTTTCGTTCTCCACAGTACCCGCCTCACGGTTCTTTTGTAGTAGATGGACAGCCTCGTCATATTCCGGTAAAAGTTGTAATGGATGCTACAACAGTGAATTGCTACACGAACCTGGACAAAACACATCTCAGTCATACTAACTTGACGGATAAAATTAGAGATGAGATACATGATATGAAACAAGAAACAGTCAGCCAGTTAAAAGAAGTACAAACTGATAACCAACAATCGTTTTGTTCTGGTTTGTTCATCTTTTTGTCTCTCTTCTTTAGTTAGAATAATGATACTTCACTCTAAATTTAACTTACCGTAAATATTAATGGAGACATGTGTTCATGTTTTATTCTCAGAACCGATTCTTGCTCGCCTAAACTACGACAAAGTTAATTTTACGATCATTGACACTAAAGATGATGCGCCTAAATACAAGGACCCGTTAGAATACGGTCAAGTTTGTCTCACAGAAAAGCGTTTGTTCTTCGTTTCACAACGGAAAAAAGACTGTGAGTAGGCTTCATAAAAAAATATATGTATGTTAACTGTTACAATTATTTAAATTATGACGATATACCAATTTTTTTCCTAGTAGATTAAATTAGAAATTACAAAGATAGTTTATTTTAATATTGCTAACATACTAAGAATCCAACCAAAAAGAAGTATCAGTACCAGTAGACGTAGAAGTGACACCACCACTATAATAATAATAATAGAAACAAAGGTACTGGAACGAATAAATAAGTCAAAACCAATGAGAGCTTGTGGGAACCGTCATTCCATTGTTCGATTGATTGATTGATTTGATTGTTAAAATATGAAAAATATTTCTGTGCGTTATTGCCAACATTCATATCAAGTTTATCTCTTGCATTTAGATACCGTACACCTTCATCATCAAGCAATTAAAAAGATTAAAGGCGAAATTATTCCGAAAGACTCCAAAAAAGCAAAAGGTAGGTCTATTTATCATGGCCTATGTATTTCTTATTTGAATCGGAATACCTTTTAAACAACCAAGCTTCTTTTCTCCCAAAGAGCTCAATTGCTTTAGTACCGGTACCATATAAAGCTTAATGGTCTAGTGGGGCTGTTTTTAGTTTTGAAAACGAATCCAAGTTTTAAAATAACTTGAAACCAGAATGATGTGATGGTGAGAATAATAATAATACATGTTGTAATAATAATAATAATAATAATAATAATAATAATAATAATAATAATAATAATAATAATAACAATAACAATAAATAATAATAATAATAATAATAATAATAATAATAATAATAATAATAATAATAATAATAATAATAATCTCCCTCCAGTTAAAGACCCCTCTAATTAATGACCACTTCCAATTAAAGATCACTTCCTGTGGTTACAAATCAATAAATGTCTTTTATCTTTATTCTTCACATTAGAGACCAAAGCTGCTAAAGACCATAGGAACCCGGTCTCAAAAGTGGTCATTAATTGGAGGGAGACCTGCAATAATAACAATAATAACAATAATAATCATAATAATAACAACAACAACAACAATAAAAATAACAATAACGATATTATTATTGATAATTAATAAATATAAGGCAGTAAATTTGAATTAAAAAAGTATACATTTTTATTATACATAGAATCGACGCAAACAGTTACAAACCAAAAGAAACCCAAGGCCTATATGCTAAAGATGGGTCAGGACACTGGTTCAAGTTACTATGAAATGATTCCAATTTGGAATATAAAGTCAGTGTCAATGAACACCTCGGGCAGTTCGGTGTCTCACACTCTAATCTACTCCAAGAACACTTGCTGTGGTGTGTGGTGCGGGTGCTGCAATTGTTTCCGCAAGTTGTTTTGCTGCTGTTCGGTACGTGTAAAGTGGGCTAAGTACACTGTATATTTCTATACTTTATCATAAGGCTTTGGAGCCCAGGAAGTGAACACCAAACATTTGCCAGCCATAATCAATGCCTGGCACTATAATCGTCACCACTACCACCATCATCATCATCATCATCGTCGTCATCTTGATTGTAAAAAAATTATTATTGCTGCTTATAGTATTATGCTTACTCTACCATAGTGTTATTATTATTAAGCCGAGCTAAACAAATAGGCACAAAAATTGTTGAAGACATCTAGCATGAAAGAGCAACTGATAGACCTATAAAGTGTATGATCACAAAAGCCTATGCATGCATATTAAGATTGCTTTGAAAAGAATTCCCCCCAGGCACCGTAATATACATTGACACACACCATTGATTTTAATACTTGATCCAGAACAAATCCCGCACCTTAATATTCGTACTGTATTGTAAACCCCTTTGAGAATACATTTATTTTTCACAAAGGAAGGATCAAACAAAACATTTAGCCTACTACGCACTCTTCTTTTAATATAGGACATGTATATAACACATTTATTCGCTTCCCCTCTTTAGTGTAAGCCGTCAAAAACATGGCGTTCGAATCGGGCAAACGATGAAGCTCTGTTTGCCGAAAACCACGACGGTAACCTCCAATACATAGCGTCAGTGGACGTGAAAATCAACCGCAGAGTGTTGATCCACGTCACATTGCCCGCCTGGGAACAAAGAGCAATAGTGGAGGTCATTGTCGACGTGCCGACGTCCATCGACAAGATAGCTGATTTCATTCGTGTTCTTCAGCATTATTCTCAGGATCTTAACACGCCTTCGAAACTCAGTGGTATCCCAGGACATATCTTAACCATTTCCGACAACATTGGTTTTCAAGTGCAGGGCCATAGGTAGATACTAACCACTGCGTGTATAATCGATTAGGGGTCAGTTACCACATGGTCAATATTGACAATATTTCCGACCCCCAACAAAAAGGTAAATGTCTACCATTCAGCGGGTGGCTCCAGAAATTTGCCGAAAAGGGGTTGGACGTGTCCAGGACGTGTCTGACAACTGGGTCCGAAACAATGGGCCGACTAGAGCCTCGGTCAGAACAGGGTCCAGGATGAAACCCTTGGTAGGGTTCACGGAGATAGTTTTTACGGCTTAGTATATGGCCAAGGATGTTATATTAGGGATTGGCAATCAAAATATCGTCATTTGGATAGCACATTTTTGGGTTTTTTTTATCCGTGGCGTCGGACAAGGAAAGGTAGTTGGGGGGGGGGATTCCACCGCCCGCACCGCCGGACGGCTGGCGCCACCACTGTTACCGTACCATTACCTATATTTTAAGACAATAAATCAATAACACGTGGTCATAATTTTAACGCTATATTATTATTACTTAAAGCCCCATTCCCGGCAAAACTTCAGTTTTTAAGAAAAATCTAATTTTTGTATAATGTTATAAAGATTTTAAAATATAATACGGAATTGCTAGTTTAACGGAATTTAGATATTCCTAAGTATGAATAAAATGTGAAATAAGACTGAAATTTGATTTTTTTTTTTTTTTTTTTTTTGTGTTCCACACAAAAAATAAATGCGGATGAATTTTCATGTTTGATTTTGCGGTAAGTCGTGAGAAGAAATATCGTAGGCGCCGAAAACATTAGCCTATCCAACGCTGCTAGTCTAGGCCTAGCCTTACCTCGATTTAGGTTCTGTTATCACACATAAAAACGGCCGACATGATATTTTCCGTTGCTAGTATTGACACTTGTGAAATATAATATTTCATAGGAATTATTTCAAATTTGTTAAAAAACTGATTCTGACTGAGATTTTGACACTTAAACAAACATATCTCAGCCTTAATCGAACGACCGCATTGTGCGAGATGCGAAGTACAAAAACTAATCTCTTTAGAGAGGGCGCACTTCATTGACTGTATAAAGTATACATAAAAGCGAGAGTATTCCAGTGGTGGATGCGATCTACAACCTCTGAATTTGCCTAGTAACGATGAATTCGTCGAGAAAATGGTAATATTTTATGAGAAATAGTCTGCATTTCTCTTTTTTTTTTTATTCTTTTTCGTAAATCTAAAATTCATGCCAATATTTTGCCATGATTTATAATAATTGGAGTAATGCAAATTCATATTTTCTATAAAAAAAAAAATCAGTTTTTAGTGAAATTTTGCCGGGAATGGGGCTTTAATCAGGAGAGAACACACCCTTCAGTCCCACCAAGTTTGAGGCTTAAGTTAGCAAGGTAATGGCACCTGTAAATACCTGGAAAAACACTCTTGTTAGAGGGTAAAGTAGAGACATTATTTTGGACTATAGTATTATAATTATAATCATCTTTAACCATTAATAAGCAAGTGACATTTTATACAGTTTTTATATGCTTCTGTAATGTTTTCAGTCTATCTTTAAAATATTTCTTTATATCTTATTAAATGAATTGATAGACACTGGATTATTGGCTTTAATTTAGTAATAACTGTCTATTTTTTAGGCATATAGTAGCCTACCGTATACTTGATGACGAATAAAGTACTATACAGAAAACGGCGCTTAGATTATAAATAGATTTGTTTAGTAACATCGAATATTAGGGCATATGCACAAACACAAATACACATATGTCCATTATGCTTATAGTATTTTCAAGACAACTTCAGTCAGGATATCGTACAGTAAACATAACCAAAGTAACGTAAATGTGATCGGTCAGAGATGTACACTCCAATTCAACTGGTTAACTGTTAATATTTTGACGCATTTTCTCTATTTAATTTAACTCAGGTTGAGAAATCTGGCAATTTTTACATAGATATACATTGGTGTTAGCTTGAAGTCAATGTGTGCAACAACAACATACAAACAAACAAGCCACAAGCTTTATCACAGCCACAATCAGACACCTCGACCTAACCATGTACTGTATTAAAGCTAGGCTCCGGGAGGAAAAAGTGTTTGATTGGCCTACATTGTAGAAGTGATTTTTCGAAGACAAAAAAAAAAGCATATTTGACGAACAACTCGGGAACGGTTAATAAGATACAGATTTTTAAATATTTATTGAATATTTAAAATTGAATTATATGAATATTTATTACATTGTAATTTGCATAACTAATTATCTGTAAACCATGGCTTTCTACGATGTCATTATTTATATATAATGGCACTCGACCTCAACGGTTATTTATATATAATTGGAAGTAAAAACCATTATTTATATTTAATGACCTTGACAGGACAACACGTGTGCATTACATATAATCCAAGTCCAAGCATTATATACATATAACATGTAACATTTGCACAGCTATTATTTATATATAATGAAATGTAAACGCAGTTATTTATTTATAATGAGTTTGAAGTCAATTCGTTATTTATATATAATGAAATCAGTGAACTTATACGTATATAAATAATTGTAAGATACTTTTCATTATTTATATATAATGATTTGTTACCTTTTCATTATTTATATATAATGAAATCAATGAACTTATATATAAATAATTGTAAGTTACTTTCCATTATTTATATATAATGATGTGTTACCCTTTCCTTATTTATATATAATGAAACCAGTAACCTTGTTATATATAAATAATGTTTGGTTACCCTTTCATTATTTATATATAATGAAATCAGTAAACTAATTATATATAAATAATGAAAACGTTAACGCAATTATTTACATATAATCTTTTAGACTTAAATGCATTATATATAAATATAATGAACGATCTGTTCAATTATATGTTAAATAATGAATTGTATATAAATAATTGTGTTAAATAATAAATTTACACTTGGCGCCTCATAATACTTAGCAAATTAAATTATATTTTTTTTAGAACAATATCATATTTAATAACATAATGATATAATCTTCTTTTGTATAAAATTAGGTAACAGCACAAAATTACTACTGATACAAAAAGTTTCCTTCTTCTTGTATTAAGAATATCTAATGTAGTCCTATTAATAATAATAATAATAATAATAATAATAATAATAATAATAAAAATAATAATAATAATAACAATAATAATAATAATAATAATAACAATAATTAAATCGTGTCAGAATGCATAAATATAATAATTATTTTTGTAAGTTAGGCCTATAGCAAATAGGTCTATGATGTATTTAGACAATTGATCGCCAGTTATGACTAATAATGCGATACAGTTACATGGTGTAGCCAGACACTATAGGCCTAGTACACACACGTTGGTGACTAATCGATAGCAGCCATTATAGGGGAGTAGTATTATTTCACGCCAAAATCTGACAAATATATTGATCTCGTATTGCCTTTTGTTGTGATGATGATTTTCGAATTTATAACGAGCCTATTTCACGAGCACTCTGTCAGAGGTCTATGATTGTCGAATCGAATTGAACAGATTATATAAGTAGCGGTAGATATATTACCCAGTCTGTGTTTGATACTGATTATTACCCATAAACATCGTATGCGATTTCTTTTTAATTCATTAACCTTCCATAGGGAGGCCTACATATATCACATGTTATTGTGTTTATGATCTACAACTTTAAATTCAATCTACAACATATAACTGTTTTGTTACGAGGACAAGCATAGGTGATGATCAAGATGAACTTCGAAGAGGTGCGAAGAAATCCAGTGTTTTTCGACGATCAATTTGTTGTGGATGGTGGAATAAATCATTTTACAAGAATTCGAGGAGAAAAATCTGACTTTCCTCCTGAGGATTTTCCACAGCCTCAATCTACGGAATCAGTATCAGTAAGTAACTCTTGGATTGGAAACAGGTCCGAATTTATGAGGTCGGAGGATGCGATAAGGGATTCCCCCCCCCCCCACAAAAAAATTAAATAAAAATTAAAAAAATTAAAAAAAATATAACAGTCGAAAATGTAATGAATATGAAATTTGTTATTTTCTGTAGGGCCTACTTAAAATTAAAAACCTGTTTAATATTTACATTAGTACTCTATTGTTAGGTTGGGCATTGTTATGATTCTGTAAAGGCCTCGGAACCACTACGATAATGACGATAATAATAATAATAATAATAATAATAATAATAATAATAATAATAATATTGTTGTTGTTATTTCAAATAGTTATCAAATTAACAATACTTTAAAGCTTGAAAGTTGCAAATTTTTAAACATGATTCTAATAATAATGATTAATAATAATAATAATAATAATAAATAATAAATAATAAATAATAAATAATAATAATAGTAATATTATTATTATTATTATTATTATTATTATTATTATTATTATTATTGTTGTTGTCATTGTTATTGTTATTTCAATTAGTTATCCAACTTTTTAAGTATGATTCTTGGTAGCGTCTACAAAGTTTGTACCACCCCTTTAAATACTTTTTTTTTCAAGAATAAGATAGCGGACCCATGATTTTTTCAAGAATAAGATAGCGGACCCATGATTTTGAACATTTTGAATCGTTTGGCTGGGTTCCTATAGAGGATTGAGAAGGTGTGTACCATCGCGAACCTGTCTTCTGGCTAAACACGGATATGATGATATTAATTGATTTTATTTTTTCGAAACACAATACAGTTTGAATTGTTTTGATTTAGGCCTGTATTGAATATGACAGATGTGCCATAATGCCTTTGTGTAAATAGCACATTTTTTTTGTTTTTGTATGTTGTTATCATGGGTCGATACGGGTGAGGCTTGGATTGTACATGGGTTGTGAATTGTTACAGATTGCACTAACAAAAATAAACAGTAAGTGTTGTAGACGCTTTATTCAGTGGCGGATCCAGGAATTCGAAATAGAAAGGACCAGGGAGGGGCCTTCCCTCCATGACTGGGACTAAGCCAAGCTGAGAGCACCAATACCTCTCCAAACCTTTGAGCATACTAAGTTAACATGTCCATCCCATGTTAGTTGCTGATCAATGGTCACCTCTAAATATTTACATGAGTTCACATGTACCATCGATCTGAACTTCCAAATCCTTATTAACAAATTTAAGTCTCTAGTATGAACCAATAAGCATAACCTCACATTTTTTAGCATTTAAGTTGAGCAAATTTCGTTTGAGCCATGCACAAACATTAACATGTCCCTATTCAACATCAACAATTTCCTCGGTTGATTTGGCAAAAAAGATCGCTGTGTCATCTGCAAACATATTGGATTTGCAATAAAATACTTCTGGTAAGTCATTTACAAACACAGTAAACAGTAAGGGGCCGATGACTGACCACACCATCCTGCTATAATTTAATTATAAGTGCAACTTATATTGCGCCATCAACCACTGAAAACTGTTTCCCCTTCGAGAGGTTATAACCTCTAAACCACAGTCCCATATATATATATATCGGATCCCAACTTGTTTAATTTATACAAATTCGGTGGTCAACTGAATCAAAGTTCCTTTTAATATCCAATGTAACCAAGCCAACCACATGATTACCGTGAATGGACTTCTTCCATTCTCCAGTAGCATAATTTAAAGATGTAGGCCTACAGGTAAAATGCAATGACCTAAATCCTGATTGCTCCTTACATATTAAGTTTAAGATTAATTTAAGAAAGCATGAAGTTGATCAGACACCACTCTTTCAAAAACCTTTGAAATGATATGTAATAATGAGATTGGTGGGTCGTAACTGGGATCTGCACGATCGCCAGACTTAAGCAGTGGAATAGGCCTACCCAAGCGATTTAAAGCATCTGTGGAAATTTACCTGATGTTAAGGAATGGTTAACAATGTGGGTGAGGACTTGTGTGATATAAGGACCGGACATTTTGATTAGCTTTGCGGGCAAGTTATCCACTCCTAATGCCTTGTTAGATGACAAGCCGTTTAAAATCTTGAATACTATATCCATAGATACATGTTGTAAGTGAAAAGAATTATTTTTACAAATTTCACCTGTACCACTAATCCCACTTAGTAAAGACCTCATGGTATCGAACCTTGATGCCAGTTTAGATCCGATATCTGAGAAGAACTCATTTATCTTATTTTCGTTATTCCCGAAGCTTGACTACTTTGGGAATGTAGAACATCGCAGGAGATGCTTCCAAGTATCTTCAATGTTACCCTTGTTACTGTAAATTCCATCACTATATAAACGTTCGTTTTGGAGTTCATAATCCTTATGTTAACCTTATTTCTGAGAATTTGGAATTTTTTTTCCAGTCATTTGCAGATTTAGTTTTAATTGCTTTACCTTCACAATGAGTCTCTTTTATTGCTTGCAGACACAATTTCCAATGTAAGCCATAACGGAACATTTGTTTTTACTCTTCTTTTTCTAACTGGCGCGCATGTTTATCCAACACATTACTAATAACTGCACTGAACTTACACCAGGACAACATCAGCATTAACTACCAAATTCCAATGGAAGGCCGCAGTAAGATAATTTAGAAAACTAAGTCGAAGTTATTACAATGCCGGCTTATTTTATATTTATGAATACTATTTCTTGACTTATTTCTACCGATACAACAGTATATAATTTCGTGATCAGAAAAGTCCTGTTTCTCTGACACCAGACCTTGTAAATAATCCTTTCACTATATGATTCATAATGATATATAATAACGTTTGTGATGTATGAATTAACTCTAGTATGTTTACTAGTTATTAATAAAAACGTAGGTCGTATTACCATTTTTTAAATTGAAAACAAAAGCAAACGTTACAGACAAAGTTTAAAGCTGTCAGTCTATGAGACAAACATTTACATTTTTCTCCATTAGCAAACGCCTCGTCGATCCGTAGTAATAGACGGGCAACCTCGTCACTTTACAATGGACCCTTCAACTATGCATTTCTTTATGAACTTGGACAAGAAACATGCAAGTCATAGTAATCTGAAGACGAAAATCAACGCTGAAATAATTGATATGAAGCACGAAACGGAGGGCCATCTAATGTCAGTACAACCGGATAACCAGCAATCGTTTTGTCCTGGTTCGTTAAATTATTTTCTCCTCTTATCTCGATTGATTGAAAAAATTATTGTTGACTGACTGGCTGACGACTGCAGACTGACTGACTGAATTACTGTATTAATTGATTTACTGACTAACAGATGACCTGGTTCGTTAAATTATTTTCTCCTCCCGACTAACTGACTGACTGATTGACTGATTTAATAACAGATGACTGACTAACAGATCACTGACTGACTAATTACAAATGACTGACTGACTGGCTAACAGTTTACTGACTCTGATTAAATGATTGATTGATTGACAGACTGACTGACTGACATGAATGATTGATTGACTGATCGAATGATTGATCGATTGCTTAATTGACTGATTCGTCATGAACACGATCATTTTAAACGTTGCGTGTGGACTCTTTTTGTACTATTAAATCTAACAGCAAAACAAACTAAACATCTAGAGATCGTTTAACTTAATTCCAACGAGCCTCGATAAACGCATTGTATTTTTATATTACGACTCAATCATTACACATTATTTAAATAGCATTATAAAATTCATTTACAGAACAAATTATTTCTAGCCTGAACTTCGAATTAGTTTCATTTTCGGTCAGTGACGTGAAAGATGGTGGACCTATGATCAAAGAGCCGTTAGAATACGGTCAAGTTTGTCTCACAGAAAAGCGGTTATTCTTCGTTTCGCGGCGGAGAACAGATTGTAAGTAGGTCCGACTCTTCTTCTTCTAGCTGCTCCCACTTGAAAGTGGGGTCGCTGTGGCAGACTATCCTTTTACAGCTTTTCCCTATCATGGACCTCATCCGCTGTAGCTACGAATTCGGCCTGATTTAATCAACTACAGTAAATGCTGGTTTTACTGCAAACTTGTAAAGCGCATTTTAGAAATATATTGTGGGTACGTGTATGCATGGGTAGGCCTACGAGTTAGCCTGTATTCTTACTCGACAACAAAAAGCATGGTTTCAGAGCACATCATGACAGAACTTAAATGATAATATGATAAAGCCTTTTCCGTTTCTTGATTCTTTTTTCTTTTTCTTATACATATATATATATATATATATATATAGGCCTATATATTTATATATATATAAATATATATATATATATAAATATATATATATATATATAAGTATATATATATAATGTTATGTTATTTGTCATTAATTTCTATTTATTCCTCTGGTGCATATAAGATACCGTACACATTCATCCTCAAGCAAATAAAAAGGTTATGGACGAAACTCCTACGAACGTCACCAGTACACCACAAGGTACGTTTATTTCCATTGCGGGTTCCGGGCCGAATGGCCAAAGAGTATTACTGTTACTTTTGTTTTTGTATTTATTTGGCATGTACTAAAATGAACAGGAGAGTTTTTATTCTCATAGAATTCATCCAAACATTTCCAAAGTCCAAGGCATATCGGCTACAGATGGAGCAAAACACTGGTTCAAGTTACTATGAGATGATTCCTCTGTGGAACGTAAAAGCGGTTTCAATGAACACTGGGTTTGGTAAAGCGATGACTAGTGCCCTTATCTACTCTAGGAGCACCTGTTGCGGGCGCTTTTGCGGATGCTTCAGTTGTTTGCGAGACCTGATAGAAGCAATATTTTGCGAAAAATGTCTGGTACGTAGTGCTTATGCCAAAATTTATCATTATTCTTTTCATGATTAAACAAGAACTTTGTCGTCATTGGTTTGACTTAGATTCAAATTTATTGTCAGTAAACACGAATGTTTTCATGTAAATTGGTTTCCTTTCTACAATATGATAATAAAAAAGGATTTCTAAAAAAAAAGAAAACATTTTAAATCAATATCGTCAACTTTTACTTTATTACTTACCAAAGCTTATACTTTCATATATTGAAAGTGTATATGATCAAAGTAAACAAAGACAACATAGGTAATAAAATAAAATTTAAACATTACAGTGGTAATATTAATGAATTAAATAAATAATGATGATGATGATGGGTCAGATACTCTAATCAAATGCGTTCTTTAAGGCTGTTCTCCGCGTCGGTTTACTTCCTGAGCTCTAATTGATTGAGCATATTTTCGCTTCACAAAAAGTTACTCCGCTAGAAATGTGAATGCGCATGAAACGACGCTTTCGATTCGCGCGAATAAATTCGCCTAGTGGAAAACAGCCTTTCGATCGAATTTCATCCGTTGGTTCCATTTACTTTGCTCTCAGGTCAATGCATCTTAACATTTCACAACATCATATTATGCACAAATTTATATTCTTAGGTTAAGGGTGACAGACAAGATACGGTAACGTGCCTTCACAAAGGCACTGTTGCTCAGGTCGACACGAAACTCAACTCGACTCAACTGGTCAACATGAGTGCTCCGAGCAAACTGAATGGAACTGACCGAAACTCTGAAATAAACTGCAAGTCGCAAATTTGAATCAACTCAAGTTGTGTTGAGTCGAGTTAATTTCAGTTATCCAAGTGCACGTTTTTGTCGGAAATGGAAGGAACTAAAAAAAGCGCTCTAAATCGATAGAATTTTGGTTCCGTTAAGTTATTTTCAGTTGCCTAATGTCGACATAAGCTTGCCTTAAAGGACACCTAAAATTTAAAGAGAAATGTTGAGCCTCCCATCCAAAGGATGGGCATGCGCCAATTAGGAAAAGGAGATTTAACAAATGTTGTTCCGTTATGGCTACATCGGAAATTATGTCTGCTAGCAATAAAAGAGACTCATGTAAACGTGATATTATTTGAGTACGATTAAACATAAAACTATAATCCATAGTAGGATTGCAGATCTGAATCGTCGCGCGACTAATATTTTAAGATTGCTTTTGTATTGATCAATATAATCGAACGCTTTTAAAAATTGCTGAAACGTTCAGAAAAAAATAATACAAAGCATATGCATCTACTTTACTGTCAGTCGGATGTTTAGCCGGTTACTCACTGCAATGGTGAAGCTATTCTGGAGAAACGCAACGGATCGTTCCTAATGACGATCCTTTCAGACTGCCTCCGACAATTAGCAGACGCCGTTGCGTCACCGAGCGCTCGCAGGGAATGAAGTTGGATTCGTCGTAGGCCTACGACCATCGCAGTGAGTGGTTGGCCTTAGACGTCCAATAATAAAAATGATTGAGATGGGGAGCGTTTTCCTTTTCACATGTTGTTTTTTGCTGAAATGGTAAAATTATGCTTGGTTAAAATTTCTTTACTCTTTTCTTCAGTTTGCGCCTGGCAAATCGTGGCATTCTGATCGGGAAAAGGAGAGGAACAAACTAGGTTTTGTAAATCATGACGGTACTATCAATAAATTTGCAACACTGGCGACGCCGATGAATCGAAAAGTCAAAATTCACGCCACGCTACCCGGCTGGGAGCAGCGAGCTGTCGTCGAGATCGTCGTTGATGCGCAGACCTCTGTTGATGAAATAGCTGATTTTATTCTACATCTGCAAGGTAACTCACAACAACTTAACACGCCTCCGCCACTAGATGCAAACCAAGCCTTTACCATAAGTCTGTCAGGTGGTAGAAATGGTGGTATTCGTTTCCAGGACCGTGCGTAGAGTTTGAGGTATTTCGTTGACTTCATAGAGCTATTAAACAACTAGAGTGCTGACAAGATGGCGGAGCAATGCAGAGTTGTGTATGTGTACCATCCAAGATGGCTGCCGTAGGAAAGCGCCACCTTCAGGCTTAGTATACATATTATTACAT